TATTATATTACCATTTTAAACAGAAGTTTAGATAGCAGACAAGAACATGTTCATTTAAATACTTTAGATTAGCCCTAGTGGGTTTGCTCAGTAGATAGAGCATTGGCCTGTGAATTGAAGGGTCCCAGGTTCGATTCTGGTCAAGAGCATATACCTCAGTTACAGGCTCCCGGCCCTGGTCTGAGGCATGTGGGAGGCAACCAATAGATGTGTCTCTCTCACATTGGTGTGTCTCTCCCTCTCCCTTCCACTTTCTCTAAAAAATCAATAGAATAAAATATACTCGAGTGAGGATTAACAAAACAATTTCATTTTACTCAAAAGGTGAAAATAGTAAATGTTAGCAAGTTAAGCAATATATCTTTGTTTTTCCAGGTTATAAAAGGAAATACCTCCTCATTTTAAAGAATTTGGAGAATACAGAAAAACCTAAAGAAGGGAATAAAATCACTGGTAATCCCAGCAGCTAAAGCAAATCAGAATTTGGTACATTTTCTTCCAGTCATTTCTTTATATACTTGTTTCTTAAAAAAAAAAAAAAAAAAAAAAAAGAAAAGAAAAGAAAAAAAGAAAGGAAGAAAGAACATATGTTCATTAGTTTGCATAATGTTTTTTTAAAAATATAGATTTTATTGATTTTTTACAGAGAAGAGAGAGGGATAGAGAGTTAGAAACATCGATGAGAGAGAATCATCGATCACCTGCCTCTTGCACACCTCTTACTGGGGTTGTGTCCGCAACCAAGATACATGCCCTTGACTGGAATCAAACCTGGGACCTTTCAGTCCGCAGGCTGACGCTCTATCCACTGAGCCAAACCAGTTTCGGCCATACTGTTTTTTTGTTGTTGTTTTTTTCACTTAATATCTCATGAGCAAAGATATGTTTTTATTTATTTTAGAGAGAGGAAGGAAGGGGCAGGGAGAAGGGAGAAACATTGATGGGAGACAGAAACATCGATAGGTTTCCTCTCGGATGAGCCCCAACTGGGACTGACCCCACAACCAGGTATGTGGCCTGACCTGAAATCGAACCCCAGAGAGCCCTTTTGGTATATGGGATGACACTCCAACCAACTGAGCCACACTGGCCAGGCCTCCACATCTTTAAATATTCTTTGAGAATACAATTTACTGGTGTAAAAAATAAGTAATATTCTACCATATGTGGGTGTTAGAATAGTTAATTTATTTCTCATTTTTATACATTTAAGTTATTTCTATTCTGAATAATGATGGATGCAACAAATTGGATATAATTTTAAAACTAAAATCTGATTATTTCCTAGAAATCTGATTATTTCTCAGAAAATAACAATAGTACCAAATAAAAGGATGAATATTTTAAAGTCTATAATGACTCTTGAAACATATTGCAAAATCAGTGTATCAAGTTAGGATAATGTTTATAAAAGTGCCTATTTCAGTACATCTACAGCAGTCATAGATACTGACATTTAAAAAATCTATAATCATTCTAATATCAATGACTCAAATTGATGCATTAAAATATTCTATAATCTTTGCTAATATTAATAGGACTCAAATTAATGCATTTTCCTTTTTAAAAATATATTTCATTGATTTTTTTTTTTTTTTTTTTTTAGAGAGAGGAAGAAAGAGGGAGAGTTAGAAACATCAATGAGAGAGAAATATCGATCAGCTACCTCCTGCACACCCCCTTCTGGGGATGTGTCCGCAGCCAAGCTACATGCCTTTGACCGGAATCAAACCTGAGACCCTTGAGCCCACAGGCCGATGCTCTATTCACTGAGCCAAACCAGTTAGGGCTCAAACTGATGCATTTTCAGTAGAAATTCTTTTAACGTTTCCACTTGACGAATGATTGGATGAACCTGGCTCATCGTTTCCTCGGTAAGAGCCGGTGTCCCAGCAGGTTACCTGTACCTGCTGTCCCCGCTCCAGGACACCCATGCACTTCCACTTCCCTGACGAGCGGTGTGCTTCTCAGGTCAGCTGTTTCCATTACCAACATGTTCAAGCCAGTTATTCTCATAACTACATAATAAAATAAAATGAGTTTATGTAAAAGGTAAATTGAACATTCTAGAGGATTGCAAATAGCTAAAATAAATGCTGAACTAGTGGCAAACAAAAGTATGTAAGAAGCATTAAGGCTGTGGGTTCTGAACTCAGATTCCTTTGTAAATGCTTTGTCACACTCTATAGAAACTAGAATTGGGAGTCTAGGACTGGACCAGTGATTCTCAACAGGGCAGTACTGACCCCTAGAGGTAGTTTCAGAAACTTGTGGGGAATCTTTGGTTAGGTTTCATTCAATACTGGCATTTAGTGGACGAGGGGCAGAGATGTGGTTTATTATTGTAATGATCTGAAAAACTTTGTGACGTCTCATTGAGTATCCATTTAGGTAGAAAGCCATTTTCCCCTCAAGGAGGAGCCGAATGCCCTACACTTAAGTGTGGGCTTCACATGCCATTTCCTTCCAGAGAGCACAGTATGGAAGTGGGGTGGGGGTGGAGAAAAACGTTACTGTGGACACAAGCCTGACAACAGCACTGCAGCCAGGTGAGCAGGGTTAATGTCAGTGACAACATGTTAACAGTGCGTGCCTTTGATGGGATGAGAATTTTGCTACTGTTATGAATCGTAATGTAAATATCTGTTTTCCGATGGTCTTAGGCTACCCTGCTAGCGGTTCTCTGCTACCCTGTGGGTCATGACCATCAGAAAACATAGTAGCAAAATTACAGTTATGAAGTAGCAACGAAAATAATTTTATGGTTGGGGGCCACCACATGAGGAAAATGTATTGAAGGGTCATGGCATTAGAAAGGTTGAGAACCACAAGTCTACATGAACTAAAGGTTACATGTATGGATTACTAATTTATAAAATCTATATATAGGACCATGTGCCACCACCCAAAGTCAAATCTTCTCTTGTCACCCCTTATCAGGACCCCTTCCTTCCCCCACCTTCCTCCCTCTGGCAAACACCACATTGCTGTTTGTGTACATAAGTTTCTGTTTTATATTCCACATATGAGTTAAACCATATATTTCTTAGACACAATGGAGTACTACATGGCCATAAGAAAAACTCCTTGAGGTCAACTTAACCCTTTCATATCACCACTTCTCAGGTAGATTAATTTGGAAGTGAATTGTCCTAATTGCTAGCAAAGCCTGGTGATACAATAGGTATTTTTTCAATGCATAGAAGGATGAGTTTAAGGAATAAGCAAGGGCTATCTTTTGACAAGTTTTTCTTAGCAAGTACAGAAGGCTTCTTCTGTGAAAATAAGGTTTAAACAACTGAATTTATGAATCTAATCATGTGCCCATTTGATGTAATACCCAACATGTGAAACTAGTCTTCATTGGTTCCCACAACTCACCTATTGATGTGGCTGTTCTTCTTTATACTTCTTTCTCCTTCAACCCTTTATTCTTTCCTTCCTTCCCTCTTCCCACCTTTCCCACCCCTCGTTATCCATAGGAACTATCTGCTCTGCAGGATACACAGAATTACATCGATTCCCAGTTCAGAGCAAGCCTGCAAGCTCCTTCACATCCTTGCACTACTCCCTGAGGGCAGCCTTTTTCTTCTTTTAAGAAAGAACATGCTGGAGAGTTTACAAATTAAACACAGTCTTATTTAAATGCTTATTTTATTTCAGTCTATAAGTATTGCCATTTGTTTGAGTTGCTCACATAAACCCATTCCATCCAAAGAGGAAATGCCAAGTGCTTCTAGCAGTGTAAGCACAGTTGGCATGGCCTACCCAAAGATCTTCCACCACAGTCTACAGGAAACCGAAATGCAGTTCAACTAACTGGATGCTTTTTTCTCTGGGCCTGAAGAGATTTAAAAAAAAATCAGTTTCGTTTTTTAAAATGCCTCAAATGTCAATCATGGCAGAGAAGACCACTGAGCTGTTTTCTGATACCTAAGTTGACACTGATCATCACTTATCCTAAATGACTACCGGCATCTGAAAGATCTTAGTGTACGGCTCTTCACAAGTAACACAAGCACCACTCACACAGAGCAACGGGGTATCCCCAGAGCAGTTGAGGGCTACACACTTCCTCCACTGCTCCCTCCCTCACCACGGTTCTCAGGCCGAGAGCGGAGAGGATAATGCTGTCACTGAAGGTTTTACAACAGGAGGCTAGTGGGGGATGTCCTGTGACGTACTCATTTATGAGGTACATCTGAATGCTAAAAATAATGAAATTTTGAGTACTCATGCCTATTTTGTATTGCCTTCCATTAATTAGTTATTTTACATGTCTAGCCTGTGTTCTTTCTCACAGGATAGTTGGGAGGATTAAACAAGATAAAATATGTTGACCGCCTTATTTGGTGTTTGCAAATCCAGGAAAAATATTCCCACCCTTCTCCCCACTCCCAAAATAAAGAGGTTAGTCCTTGAATTTTGAAAGCACTTTATACATAAGAAGAAATTAGTCTTTCTGTCAGCATCCTCATCAGCATAATTCTGAATTCCTCCCAAGAGTGCCTTCTCTCTTGTAAAATAAACACTTTATTCTATTTCAAGTGCCCATAAAGTTTTGTTTTTGGTCAGTGCTCTTTACTTTCCGCTGTGAAACATTATTCCTGAGGACTGAACCCCAGAAGGAAACATGTTAAATTTGTTTTTTTTTAAATGATGATTCAAAGACAGACTTGTAGACAAGTCATGTTGGGAGGGAGAAGGTAAATGCAGCCTCTGAAGGGAACTGTTCTAATCATGACCTAGAAAACTAATGTTCTACAACCACATTCAAGGACACAAGGCAAAGCACTACTTTAAAACTAGAGGGACTGGTCAGGTCGGTGGAAAGCACAGCTGAAACAGGAAGGGAAATGCACTTGAGAATAATTTGAATTGAGACAATGCACCATCAGTCCTCGAAGCTTCTGTTATCCGAAAATATCCAGGTTCCCTGTCTCTCTTTTCTAACTCCCACAGTATCTTCATGGAAATCTCAAAGCAGTATTCTCACAGATCTAAATAATAGTTATCATTTTGTTAGGATTCAAAATTTCAATCCAGTAGCCATCAGGATCTTGAATAAATGCCAGGCCTTTCATTTTACCTGTAAAATGAAATGATTTTCATTATTAAAAAGACTGAAAAACTTTTAAAAGGTTTTTGTTACTTCATATTTAATTTGCATTCTTTACAGTATTAATTTTCAAAAATTCTATTGTCATTGTTGTCCAAATGCATGTTTTTTGGAATGACTAATATTCTAACTTCTATACATAGCTGGGAATATACTATAATGAAATAAACACATCTTTTAGGTAACAGGTGAGTCTCTCCTCTTTATAACATTATCACTTCATGCTACCAGTTGAGTCATTACAAAAATTGCACGCTCCCTATTGAAGGGGTGGGGGTACGTATTGAGCCTGCAACCGGGGCAAGTGCCCTTGGCTGGTATAAAACCTGGGACACTAGTTCACAGGCTATTGCTCTATCCACTCAGCCAAACTGGCTAGGGCAGAAATTGTCTTATTTTAGAGGAAGAAGAAAAGAAGGAGGTGCTCCAAGGAGCAGGGAGCATGGCTCACCCACAGCCCAAAGACCCAGATGCTCGAATCATACAACCCTGTGAAGACTATTCTGGGTAACCCAAGGTCTGCTGATCCAGTTCTCTCTCACAGGAATTCATAACTGAGATTGAAGTAGCAAGTAGAGCTGTTGGCTTAAATGGAACAATGTGACCTCGGAAATTTATGTGACTAAGATGCTGAATTAGTTGACTCCTATCTCTAGTTCCTTTTCCCAAAATCACCCCAGAGGAACATAGCAAGTAGGGGGGAAAAGTAAGAACCCCTTGGGTGATGGTTGTGGAGAGGAAATGTGGGAATGAGGTAGGGTGACTGTTTTAACTGGTCTATGTGGAAGGGGGTACTTTCCATCACACCTGTGGGAGAATAAACAGGAAGAGTTTTGTTAGTTTGATTCTTGCTCCTCCCAGTGGCTGGGACATCAGCACCATCCCACACTAGGGGGAGGGAAGTGGGTGAGGGTTCGTGGAATGGTTCAGATGTCCTCAGGAGTAAATAATGGTACCCCACACAGAAACCTGTGGGGAATGAGAAAAGCACGTGGGAACCGACTGATCCCCTCCAGCCTTCACTTTCCACACAGCCAGGCTTAGGGGCTGACAATCTCAGGAATGTCTCCTAGTAATACTGCTAATATTTCGTCCTGGAGGGTCAAAGCAGGAAGCTCTAACCGAGAAACCTGTTCTGTGGACTGTGAGGTGTTTGTCATTTTCAATGCCTAGGGATTTCTGCCCAGCCCACAGTCCTGCCACTGGGTTGTAAATAATCTGGCTTTCCCCTCATTCACATTGCCTGATTGGCCGGGATAACTAATATCTGCAATTAAAAAATTCTCTCTGAGAATAAAATAACAAGAATTTGAGGAACATAATCATAAACAATCTATTATAGATTCAAAAAGAAGAACAAATATTAATGAACCAAGAACAATTAAAACACGTAAAAGTGATAAGGAATCGTATATAATAAAAGTCTAATATGCAAATTGTGTCCAAGGGTGGGAATTTGACCAACTGGGAGTTAGACATGCGCTGATCACTAGGGGGCGGCGTGGAGAATGGTGAGTGTTGGTGACAAGGTGCTGGCAGTGGCCAGCAGTGGAGAGAGCGGGAAGAGTGGGACCACAGAGGGATGGTTGAACAGGTGAGTGGGCGGTGCCAGGCCAAGACGGGTGTGAGTGGAGGCCCCAGTCGCCCCGCTGGTCGCCCCAAAGACAGCAACCAGTGGCAGTGGTGGCAGGGGGCGGGGCCAACAAGCAGGCAGCTCCTGGCCAAGGCAGGTGCAAGCGAGGGCCCTGATCGCCCTGCTGGCCGCCCCACAGATCACCCCTGATCACCAGCCAGACCTAGGGACTCTATGCATGCACGAATTCATATTGCTAGTATGAAATATAAGCAATATGAAATAAGAACAAGAAAAGTTAAAGGGCCCAGCTCAGTGGTTGAATGTTGACCTATGAACCAGGAAGTCATGGTTCCATTCCCAGTCAGCGTACAATTCCGGGTTGCAGGCTGGATCCCCAGTGTATGACAAGCAGGAAGCAGCCAATCAATAATTCTCTCTCATCACTGATGTTTCTGTCTCTCTCTCCCTCTCCCTTCCTCTCTCTGAATCAATAAAAATATATTAGAAAAGAAAGAAAAGTTAAAGCAATCAAGCAAAACTTAGGAATCAAAATTATAATAGCTGAAATAACACATTAGATGAGAAACCAAAAGACAGCTATCAGAACAGATAGATTTGAGAAAAAAATTAACTAACTGGTATGCCAGTTTGAGGAAATCTCCTAGAAAGAAGGCAAGGAGAAAGAAATAACAAATTTTAAAACCTTCCAGCATAAAACAGAAGATAATATACCAAAGAACACAAATCAGCCCTAGCTGGTAGCTCAGTTGGTTAGAGTGTCATCCTGATATGCCAAGGTCGTGAGTTCAATCCCCAGTCAGGGCACATACAAGAAGCAACTAATGAATGCATAACTAAGCAAAACAACAAATCAATGTTTCTCTTTCCCCCTTCCTCTCTCTAAAAAGCAATAAATTAAAAAAAAAAAAAAAAAAAAAAACATCGAAAGAATACAAATCAGACAGCAGATTTTCAACAGCAACATTGGAAAACTAAGACAATGGAGTTCTATGTCCAAGATTGAAGAAAAATAACCCTAAAATTTTATATTCAACAAAACTGCCATTTGTGTCTGAAGGCATGGTTCTCAGGCATGCAAAGCTTCAAAAATTTATTTCACAAATCCTTTAAAACAGTTTGGGTTGAGGTACTTAATAAAGGGACAAAAAAATCTAAAAAATGCTGTAAGAGACATATGGAGAAAAGGTGATCAAATACTTTGAAATCATATTTATTATCTTTAAAAAATGAATCATATCCAAGTCTGGGTAATAGTAACATGATGGGAATAAAAGGGAACAAGTTCTTTTCCTGTGGGGAAGATATCTGGATATCAAATCTTTTAATTGAAATAAAAAAATAATATGAAACAGGGAAAACAGTGAAGAGTTTCAAATGAAAACTGAAAAAATAAATTACGGCAGAAACAAACCTAAGTAAAATAAATTATACTGCATGTAAATCCAACAAAATCTAGACATATACTATTTCAAGAAACAAATATAAAACTTGACATGCAAAGATTGTAAAAGATGAAAAAGAAATACCAGGCCATTATTAACTGAAGAGATTTGGTATAGTCATATTAATATCAGATAAAGCAGACTTTAAGGAACTTATTTTGGGGTGGCTAGATAACACCTGAGACAGAGAATAAGGTGGGGTCCGAGGGTAGGTGAGGAGCCTAGGTCTTTGAGGACTCCCCAAATCCTGTGTCTAGTCCCTTGGGAACCACCCTCCATCTTTCAGGTCCTAAATAAGCAGGTATTCTTCCAACAACTCCCTTCTTTCATTAAGCCGGTTGAAGTAGACTACTTCAAAGTTATTTGCTCCAAAAGGGTCTTACTACCACAGTGCCTTCCCATGGGTGCTCAGTGAATGTTCTATAACTCACCATCATCAGGCTTCTTCACAAATTTGACTCCCAGTTCTTCAAATCTTTTGCAAGCACCATGTACATCAGGAACTGCAATTCCAATGTGACCTTAGGTGACCACCCCCGAAACAAGGCAAAGAGAAGGAAGAAATCATTACAACAGGTGGCCAAGTGCTTCCAAAACTAGTATATTTCAAAACAAAAGGCATCCAAAGACAGACTGAATCAAGGAGGTTAGAAAACTATAATATACAGGGTGAAGGAGAAGTAGAACTATAATTGTTGATATAGAAAATAATATAATAATTAGTAAATAATAATAATAATAATAATATAAAAATAAACTCTGATTCATGTACTCATAACTATAAACCTATTTTTGTCCTGCCCTGAACTAAAGAATAAAAATGTAAGTCTAACTGGCTGGGTATAATAAATTAATTAGTTGCTCTGAATTATAAATTATTGAAAATAAGGCCAAAATTGACTCATATATTATGAATAGACTATTAAGAATAGGTTATTCAATCTATTAAGAATAACCTATAAAAGAATAATCATTTACTCATACTTATTAGGTTTGTGGTTGACACTGACTATATATAATATAACAGCCAATTTAAACCTGCAATCCCATTATCTTGACTGAAAGGTTTTAGTTCAGGCAGAAATATATGCTAAGCAAAAAATCAAGATTATTATTCACCACAGCTTTTGATTTTTACATTAAAAACCTACTGAAAATATAACACAGAGACTGAAAAGTAAAATCACTGAGAGAGTAGATGTAATGTTCAGACTGAGACTAAGAGATTAAATGGCTCCTAAATAAAATTATTTGTGAAAATAAAAATAACAACAACCCTACTCCTAATAAATTACTTATACTTCATGCTTTAGATCATTTACAATCCTAAAAAGGAATGTGGTGCCAACAGCGCACAAGCCCATGTATATTATATACAAATAGGGAAACATACCGAAGCCTCGGGGGTCTGAATTGCCGCTGTGGTAGCTCTGGGCCTCATCCTCCTCAGTGCCCCAATTGCTGTGAAAGGAGGGAAAACACAATTACAAGGGACTTGCAGAACAGATATTCTGAAAAGAAAGTTACAACAATCTGTCTTTGTATTCTTATCATATATATTATTTGATACACTCGGTCTAATCTCTGCTGTTATAAATATTAAATTTTCAACTACAGAAAGGGCAAATGGGCAAAATATGATTTTAACTAGACTAAGGAGACTATACCAGGCATCTGGATAGCAATAACAAAAGCAACTATCACTCACTGTGCCCAGTAAAATCCTCATAACAGGTCCATGGGCTATATTAGAGTATCTGCATTTTATAAATGAGAATGTCACGGATGGAGGTGATATAACTTGTTCAGGGCTACAGAGCTATTGTCTGAGTCAAGACTCATGTCTAGGTCTGTCTGATTCCAGAACTGTTTTGAATCAGGGGACACATTAAATCACATATCCTGAAACAAATGCTGTTTTTGGTTATAAAGAGTACACAGAACCTTGGCTAGGGTAGCTCTATGGATGAAGTGTTGGTCCAAGGACCAAAGGGTTGCAGGTTCAATTCCTGGTCAAGGGTACGTACCTGGATTGCAGGTTCGATCCCAGCCCCAGTCGGTCAGTTAGGGAGTGTTCGAAGTAACCATTAGATGTGTCTCTTTCACATCAATGTGTCACTCTCTATTTTTTTTTTTTTCTCTCTCTCTCCTACTCACCCACCCTCCCTTCCTTCCACTCTCTCTAAAAATCAATGGAAAAAAATGTCCTCGGGTGAGGATTAACAACAACAAAAACAATGCACAAGAACAACATAAAGAATAAAAAGAGGAATACCATTTTATGAAGACTTAGTTGTAGTACTTAAACATTTGTTAGCTATAGTTTGGCAAATATCTTGCCATTTCAGTCTTAGATTTTCTACCTAAAAAGCAAATGATCTCACTTGTCCTATTTATGCCATAAGACCAACACAAAGACCAAAAGATCCATGAAAAAACACTCAAACATCCTGTTACAAATGCAAAGTGGTTCGGTAGATCAGGTTTGGATTAGGCTAGTAAGGGAAACAGTGTATAAAAACAAGCCTTTAAAAAATATAGAATATATAAAAAGATAGAAACTCATACTCACTGTGTCAGTTCAAGTGTAGCTTTTCTGGAGAATACCCACGCTACCTTTTCATCTTTATCTTTTGGGATGTCATTTTTATCTTCATAAGCCAAGAAATAGAGTGAAAATTTCATGGTGGGAAAATCTAATTTCTGGAGTAGCCTGAAATTAAACAACAATCCTGAATTAAAAACAGGAAAGGTTGATTCATGCTAAAATCAACATGGCAATTTTCAAGTCCTACTAAGAATAACTCTGTAATAAGGCCATTTTAATAGGAAAAGCAAGATAAGCCAATAAAAATATTTTATTTTTAAAAATCTATTCAACGCTGTGGCTCAGTTGGTTGGAGCATGTCCTGTGCACCTAAGGACTGCAGGTTCAATTCTCTGTCAGAGCGCACACTCAAGTTTCGGGTTCGATTTCTGGTTGATGGGTAGCCAATTAATGTTTCTCTCTCACATTGACATTTCTCTCTCTCTCTCTTTCTCTCTCTCAAATCAATAATAATTTTTTAAAAAGTATCCTCGGGTGAGGATTTAAAAAACAACATATATTCATCTGTAAATATCAGTGAAATAAAAATTTAAAAAGCAAACTTTTGTAATTCATCATTTCTTCAAATATCATCAATTCTTTAAATATAATGAAACTTAGCCAGAATTATGATACTTGTTTATAAATGGCAAAAGATATCTTCAAAATAAAATTTTATTTTTAGTAAAAGATACAATGTGTTACTTTACTGTCCTTTCAGGTATAAGACATTCAGTTAAAGAAAATAAATGCATTGAAAGTATGACTGTCTAATCACTCACTTGGACATCTGAAACTGAATCAAAATAACCCAGCCCATGTGGCTCAGTGGTTGAACATCGACCTATGAACCAGGGGGGTCAGAGTTCATTTCCTGCTCGGGGCACATGCCCAGGTTATGGGCTTGATCTCTGGTAGGAGGCATGCAGGAGGCAGCTGATCAATGATTCTCATCATTGATGATTCTATCTCTCTCTTCCTCTTCTTTCCTCTTTGATATCAATAAAAAAATATGAAAAAAATAATAACTATAATAGAAAAATAAAACTTAAAAATATTTTTAAATAAATAAATAAATAAACAAATAAATGAATGTACCGAGTTCTTACTAAGCCAAAACTCCTAGGGGAAAAATCTGTGGTAAGGAAGAAGGAAGGACACAGAAGAGGTGACTGTCAACAATTAAGTGGTTAACAGTATCAAATACTGCAGAAAGGTTGAACAGGCCTGAGACTGGGAACAGATCACCAGATATGAAAAGGTCCCGTGAGGCAGTTTCCGCAGCAAGGGGTAGCAGAAGCTGGACTGCCTGCACTGGGAGAGAAAGGGGGGGAGCAAATCAACCAGCAGCGTGGTCTACCTCCATAGATGGTGGGAGGCGATGGGTAGGAGGGCCAGAGAGCAAAGAGTAAGAATTATCCTAGAATAAAGGCGACTTAAGCTTTTCTGTAGGTTGAGGGGAAAAAGCCAGTGGAAAAGGAGAGACTGATATGAGAGAAAGAGTAGACAAATTATTAATCCTGAGGTTTTAAAAAAGATCAGTGAAGTTATGGCCTATAAAGTGAATTCAGAGTATAAGATTATTTTGCAAGGAATAGGGTAACATGAGTATGAATAATTTTCTTTAGATTAGGATTAAATGCTCCAAGATGACCTCATCTATAATAATAAAAGTGCCGAAACCGGCTTGGCTCAATGGATAGAGCGTCAGCTTGGGGACTGAAAGGTCCTGGGTTCGATTCCGGTCAAGGGCATGTACCTTGGTTGCGGGCATATCCCCAGTAGGGGGTGTGCAAGAGGCAGCTGATCGATGACTCTCTCTCATCGATGTTTCTATCTCCCTTCCTCTCTGTACAAAATCAATAAAATATATTAAAAAAATATATATAATAATAAAAGTGTAATATGCTAATTAAACTGGACAGCCAAACGACCTTCTGGACAAAGCCGCGGTGGTGGGGGCCAAGGCAGAAGCAGTTAGGGATGTTCAGGCAGGCAGGTGAACAGTTAGGGGTGATCAGGCAGGCAGAGTGGTTAGGGGCGATCAGGCAGGCGAGCAGTTAGAAGATTGCAAGAGGATGTCTGACTTCCAATTTAGGCCTGATCCCTGTGGGATCAGCAGGATCAGGCCTAAACTGGCAGTCAGACATCCCCTGGACAGAAGATTGGGAAAGGGTGCAGGCCAGGCTGAGGGACACCCCTCCCCCTACCCCATGCACAAATTTCATGCACAGGCCTCTAGTTCATAATAAGAGGGGATGACTGAAGCCTAACACATGAAAAGTTCCTAGAGTTCTGTTGAAATCTTTTGATTATCACTGGTATGTAACATGCCCTGGCCGATAAAATCTATGCACTGACTTAGCACAAATAAGACTTACTCTATCTGTTTATAATAAAGCATCAAACACCTCAAATACTGCAGTCATGAAACACTTACACAGACTGCGCAGCCTTGCAGACCTGTCAGGTGGGAGATGCAGCACATGATCCTGCTGAAACTTGCTTTTCTCAGCTGAGCATATCTTTCAGTACAACCTTACGACCCCCTCTTGGGGGCTTTTAAAAACAAGGTCAGCATTGGAGTTCATCAGACCTGGCTTCAACATCAGGGCTGGTTACTTAATGTTAACCCCTGGCTTCTTCCTTCATATGGGGACATAAGCTACCTTATGGACCTACTCTGAAGATGGAATGAAATACTGTATCAAATGCCTGCAAATAGCAAATGAAATTAGTTTGGTTTCATTCTGTCCTTTAAATATGCAAAATACTTTCCCTGAAAATAAATAAATAAATAAACTACAATAAATTATTTACAGCAGTTATCTCTGAGGAGAAGAATTGGGAGAGGGAGGCTATTACATTTCATTTTGTATTTTTCTGAATTGGCTGGATTTTTAAAACAGAGACATATACTGTATTAACCAAATTTTTCTCTCAATGTCAATGAAAGTTATCTAGGCAACAAATTAAAGATCATTTTACTCTTTATCTTTATTATAAAAAACAAACAGAAAACTCAAATTAATAAAAATGAGCTCTGGGGAGCCCGCCCACGCCTTTCCTGTCCCCTCTTCTTTGCTTCTCTCCAGGAGAGTTACCTTTGCCTTTCTCTCTCCTAAGCCCCAAGGGCCCAGCTTTTGCTTCTGTAACCTATTTCCTGAGCCTCTACAGCCCAGCTGGCTCACTTCTACTAACTTTCTAAATAAATCTTCTCTTACAATTTGAAAAAGAATAATAAACAATTGCACTTGAAGAATGACAAGATCAGAGGATAACCTGTTCAGCAAAAGACAACACTTTCTATAAAAATGGGAAGGTGGCCAGTTTTAGGTAAACTCATTCATTTTCTAAGTACTAGGTCTTTATATCTATACCTTTTCTGAAGTAAACAAGAGGCTAAAAGTGGTTCTAACATCCAAAGGGTCTGGGCATACTAAAGATTTAACTGGCAGCTCTCAGAGAGAAGGGAGTTAGAAAAAATATAAGTATTGGTGTTTCGCTGCCCACTGAGCCTGGCTGGGACAGAGGAACTGACAGAAGTCCTGACAGCAGACCCTGACCGCTGGTCAGAAGGACTTTTGTGATTTATGAAGCAAACTTGAAGCCATTTTTAAAAATATATTCGAAACCAGTCCATATATTTGCAAAGCTATATATTTAAACATTACAGGCGCCAACATATAGTTTACTTACGTCATTCCAAGAATTCTAGTATAAAAATCCAAAGACTTCTTAGGATCCTTAATTCGCAGCATGGTCTGCTGCAACAGAAAATCCTAAGGAGAACAGTACGTATTAAACACCTTCCATTTTTACCACTTGTACCAACATTAACTGTGCCTTCTGTAACAAGACGCAAACGGTCCACCATTGTAACAACGTTTAGGGAGAAAACACTTTTTGTCCCTTCTGTCTACCATGGAAACCATCTGGAAAGTTTCCGTACCTACTGCCTACAACTTGGGTTCTCTGCCAACGGTATTTTCTGGTCACAAGGGTTGGCAGGTCCCAAGTGCCAGGGAGTTTACAGCCCAGAAATGACACTCAACCAATTGTCCTCAGTGGGACAATTCTGAGGCAGGTGCCAGTTTCTCAGAGGCTTCCCAGCAAGCCCAAACCCGAATGTCCTCACTCTTTTTTTAATTTTTTATTATTATTATCTGTGTACATATCTTACCATCCCCCCCCCATACATACCCTCCCTCCCCAGAGTTTTGTTCCAAATGCCCTCACTCTTTTATTATTATTATTATTATTATTATTATTATTATTATTATCATCATCATCATCTGTGTACATATCTTACCATTGTCCCCCCCTCCCATACATACCCTCCCTCCCCAGAGTTTTGTTCCAAATGTCCTCCCTCTTACACACTTCCTATCACCTATGTTCCCCACTCCAGAGATTTCTCTGACTACTTCCCAAATAAAAGAACTAAACCCCTATCTCCAGTCTGCTTTTGGGTGGCCCAAACTAAACAGTGACATTATAAATAAAGAATCCTATCACTGTAAAATCACTGTAAAATTTGTTGAATGAACACACAAGTGCCCTCACAGAACTATTTATTGGTAACCATAGCAAGGAGTTACAAGAACCTAAACTAAATACCTAAAAGAGTAAGAATTGCTGTCTGTAACACCATTGTGAAACTGTCCAATTTAAAAATCAGGAACCAAGAGACTCGATTTGACTGATAAAAGGGTATAGAGAGTATAATAACTCATGGAGTTAAGGTTATTATTAGCATTAATAATTTGCCTTGGGGTCTGACATCACCAGGGAGTTTACTTTCATTAGGTACATACTATGAGGTATCATTGCCTGTAGGTATTAAACTCCACATTTAATAGATGAGCGACATACTCAGAATGATTAAATGAATTGCCCCCAACTTTCGGATGCTAAGCTCAGGTCTTCTTCTATCACAGTATCTTTCAGACCATGAGTTTCTTAACTATGCTTGTGCTTCCGAACACATTTTTATTCTTGTCAAAACCAAGGACTTCACAAGACAGACCTGAAAACTCTGACCTCTCCCTTCACAGCCGCACAGACACATCCCCCTTGTAACTCACATCATCCTATAGAATATATAATTCTATTATTTATTACACTGGCTGGAATTTCCAGCCTGATGTTAAATAAGAGTGGTGAGAGCAGACATCCTGGCTTTGTTCCCCCAAATTAGGAAGAAAGCATGACCATTATGCACAATGTTAGCTGTAAGGTTTTTATAGATGCTCTTTATCAAGTTGAAGATGTCCCCATTCCTATTATTTGATGGGAATGTGGGGGAGGAATCATGAATGGTATTGAATTTTGTTAAATGCCTTTTTTACATCAATTGATATGATCATATTTTTCTTCTTTAGCTTCCTGATGTGGTGAATTACTTTGAGTGATTTTTGAATATAGAAATAGCCTTCCATACCTGGAATATATTCTGCTTAGTCATGGTATGTAATTGCTTTTATATTGCTGAACTCTAACTGCTAATAATTTGTCAAATATTTTTATATCTATAGTTGTGAGGGATATTGATTTGCAGTTCTTTCTTTTTGTACTGTCCTCATCTAGTTTTAGTACATTGGTAATACTAGCTTTATAAAATGAACCAGGAAGTGTTCTCTTCAATTTTTTGAAGGGACTGTGTATAATTGGTATCAATTCCTCTCCAATGTTTAGAAAAATTCTTCAGTGAAATCATCTAGGCCTGGAGATAGGCTTTTTGGAAGATTATGAATTTGATTTCCTTATGTTATAGAGCTATTCAAATTATTTATTTCACACTAAGTTATGACAGTTTTGTGTTTTTCAGGGAATTGTCCCACTTCATGTAAATTGTCTAGTTAATGTATAGACAGTTGAACATTGATGTCTGGCTTTCTGACATCCATAGTCTGTAGTATTATTCCCTATTTCATTTCTGATGTTGATAATTTGTGCCATCTTTGTTGTTTTTTGGCAGTCTTGCTACAGTTTGTTAATTCTGTTGCTTTTTCCTAAGAATCAGCTATGTTTGTGTTTTTTTCTATTTTCTGCTTTCAATTTCATTGATTTCTACTCTATTATTCCCCTCCTTTCGTTTCCTTTGGATTATTTTGCTTTTCTTTTTCTAGGTTCTTGAGGAGGAAACTTAAATGACTGATTTGAGACTTTTCCTCTTTTCTAACGTATGCATTTAGTGCTATAAATCCTCCCCCTTAGCACTGTTAGCTGATATTTCGCTTTCATTTTTGTAAAGACAGAAAAAGACCTCTCCTTTTCTTTGCTGTGGCCTCCACAGCATCTGGCAATTAAACCCCAAGATTGTTAGTTCCTCTGGTTCAAACAGATCCTCTGTTCAAACTCAGGGCAAGAGAAGCCACTCTCAAGGTTGCAATCGGTCATGCCCCTTCTCCCTGCTGTTTTCACAACTCAAGGGAAACATTTAAATAACTTTAAAATGTTTAGATAATTCGCACCAAGGAGTTTCTAGTTAGTAGAAGGTTCTCCTCTCCCCTTCTCGTCAAACAAGCCTCTTTTAAGCTCTTCATAACTTTGTCCTCAGCGTGTTTTACAGGCTTGGAAGAAACACTGATAAGACACCACCCGAGGACATCTGCTGGGCTGTCTCCTGGAAAGCAAATAAACTAACTTTTCAAGACAACCCCTGGTATCTGCTCAACTTCAACACGATCCCCCTCCCTTCCTTGTCACTTAGCAAATGTATCATAATTGCTTGCTCTTTAAAAACAAAAGCCACTGTCTCGCCCCACTCCCCACTCCCATACAGGGGCAATGGTAAAATATGTACACATATAATACCTTAACTTAAAAAAAAAAAAAAAAAAACTGTCAAAAAATAAATAAAAAGTGCAAAGCCACATTAAAAAAAAATTAAAAATAAAGTAGCCCCTCTTCCATAAATAAATAAATAATAAATACAAAAGCCACTGTTTGGTCCCTGCCCTGACTAGCAATGGTTGGCCCTTTCCTCCCTGGGAAAGGAAAGTAAGTTTCAGCCTGTCACAGCCTGCTTCACCAGCCAAACTCTCCAATGTGTTTTTCAAATTTTGCTCTTGAGAATTCTCTTGGCCCATAGATTATTCAAAAATGTATCATTTAGTTTCCAATTGTTTGAAGATTTTCCTGTTATGTTTCTGCTGTTGATTTCTAGCTTGATTCTATCACAGTCAAAATACACACTCTTTATTTCGATTATTTTAAATTTGTTCAAGTTGGTTTTAAGGCCTGTGACATGATCTACCTTAGAATATTTTCTGTGGGCACCTAAAAAAAGTGTATTCTGTTATTATTGGGTGGAGTGTTCTAGAAATGTTGATTATATGTTCTTGATGATTAGATCTTATTTGCTGAAGGTGTTGTTAAATCTACATACTTGCTAATTTTCTACTAATTGTTGAAAGAGGAGTACTGAATTCTCCAATTATAACTGTAGATCTGTCTATTTCTTCTTTCCATTGGATCAGTTTTTGCATCACATAGATTTGCAATTCTGCAGTCTGGTACAAACACATTCAGGATTGCTATGTCTTCTGAGTCCATTGACCCTTCTATCATTATATCAAGTACTTCTCCATGATCATTTTTTTTTTTTTTTTTTTGCTCTGGAATCTACTTTGTTTTATATTTTCATAGGCACTCCTGCTTTCTTTTGATTACTGTCCACATAATATATTTTCATCCTTTCACTTTAACTTGCCTCTATCATATTTGAAGGGAGTTTCGTGTAGATAGCATGTAGTTGGGGCATATTTTAATTTTTCTTTCAGCTTGAGATATAATTGACATATAATACCATGTAAGTTTAAATATACTGCTGTATTGACTTAACTTACATGTGTTGCATAATGATCAGCACAATAAATTCCTTCATATATGGATAAACAAGGGCATGTTTTTCAATCTACTCTGTCTTAATTGGTTCATTTACATCGAATGTAATTGTTAAAACATTAGGGCTTAAGTTGGCCATTTTACTTATTTTTGTTTTTCTTTCTTTCTTTCTTTCTTTTTTGTTAATCCTCACCTGAGGATATTTTTTCCATTGATTTTTAGAGAGAGGGGAAGAGACACACACAGAGAGAAAGAAACAGCGATGTGAAACAGACACATCTATTGGTTACCTTCCACATTCACCCCAATTGGGCCGGGGAGCTAGCTTGCAACCCAGGTGCACGCCCTTGACTGGAATCGAACCTGAGATCTTTCAGCCTATGGGCTGACGCTCTAACCACTGAGCAACCGGCTAGTACTGTTCTCTTTCTTTTCCTTTGCCCTTCTATAGATCACTGGGACTTTTTTTTTATAATTCCATTTTGATTTCTCTAGAATATTTTTATATGTATTTATTTGTAGATAGCTTTATTAGTAGTTGCTCTGGTGTTTTGTTATATACAGGGTGGGCTGAAGTAGGTTTACAGTTGTATGTGAAACTGTTTATTCTTATATTATTATTTATTTAATTATTATATTATTCATTACTATAATTAACCTACTTTGCCCACCCTTGTATATCCCTTTACTCTCTCATTTATGATTTTCTTAAAATACTTCTGCTGCTGGGTTGGGGGAGAATTTCAGGTTTCCCATGTTTCTCCACTGACACAGCACAGGGGGAAAGCTTGTTACTTCCTGTGAGATGGAAGTTCTGGCTCCCTACTCAGCCTTCTCTGACACCACCCTGGCAGGGGTAGGTCAGGCACCTCATTATTGCCCCTTGGGTGGACCAGACTCCCCGTTCAGCCTTTGCTGGTGTAGGTGGGGC